CTTCTGCGACTCAGAGAGAAAAATCCTTATTACTGGATTCTATCCTTGCACGACTAATTCTATAACCCCTTTCATTGCTCGTCTGTGCACTCAATGCAAGGAATTTGTATCACTTTTAAGGAGATGGGGTGAGATTACGTTGTCAACCTCAAGGTTTAATCGTGCACATGTCTTATACAATGTTAAGACTAATTCTGGTGTGGTGGTACCAAATTTTCTTCGCATAAAGTGAAAAGCTGCATTGGCCTTAGCTGTGTCCCCTATATTTTTCAAACTGATATCGAGGCTCTCCGTGGTGATTTAACCAAGATGGCAATCTGAGCAGACAGTTGAAAGTGGACATGCATTGAGGGCGTAAGTCGTCTGTGTCACGTTGTGCATTACGTTTATAATGTGATTTATCGACCGGTATATTTTCAACCCGTTATTTACTACCTATTGTACAATCGATGTAAAGTTTTTTGATGCCCGATCGAATCCTCTTCGCTCATCTTGGAAATCCAGATCTTTGCACTTACTGCGTAGATCCATGACGCCAAGCTAATTTCACATAATATAAGGAAGAGGAGTGAGCCTTAGATGGTCCCCTGTAAAACTGCTAGTGTTGAAACTTGCCAGCTCACGTGCACTGGGTTTAATTTGGTGTGAACTTACTATTCTTAACTTAGTTTCTTGGCGTAGATAAAAGAGTGTCAGTGAAACCCATTTCTACAGCATTCACAATTAGGGGTGTGTGGGGTGCTGAGTGGTAAAATATTCGGTACCAGAAGGTTATACAACTGTCCTATGCTATGCGAAGATTACGTTCAATGACCTGACTTTCATAAGCTCGTGCTGAAATTCATTTGCTCGTTCATTATCCCCTCCATTATGTTTGATAATACTGTTGGTAATAAGAATGGCCAGTAACAGGCCAGATACTTCCTGTCTCCGCCTTTGAAGATTAGGGAGAGAATAGCTTGTTTCCATTCATCTGGGAATAGGTGTGACTCTGGTGAATGCCTGAACGTGTCACTCAATGTCTCAAGAATATAGAGTGAATATTGTTACATGCTGTTGACTCCTGGCAGCGGACAATTTAGTAATGTCATTACTAAGTCAACAGTAAGTCGTGTATTATCTTAGCCGTTAGCTGGCACTAGTTTTGAGTAGTAATCTGAACATGTAGGCACGTGGTTTAACTGATCGGTGAAGTTGATGTTACGGGTAACATCCTTCGCATGATAGATATGACCATTTCCATGGCCATGTGGAATGTAGAAGATGCTCTCTCATGCACGTGTAATTTACCCTATTGTCTTTCTTGATTGTTTCTTTAAGACCATGTTAAATATGACTGTGCCATGACCACCACTTCCAGTTAGTCTACGGGCTGTAACATCCTCGATCAGGAACTAATGATTTGTTGACAGATAATCCAGGTTTGAGGATTTTCCATCCTTAGTCCATCTTGTGGCCCTGCGTACATGCAAAGTCATCCCAGAACTTTTAATGGCTGCGTCAAGTCGTCTTCAGTATGGAACTGTGGCATTTTTAACCTGTTCGCCGAAATTTAGAGGTGGAGTGTCGAAATCTTTTGCTAAGAGTATTTGATCAACCCAGAGCGTGACAGCCACAGTATTGCCCCAGTCCTTGGTGTGGGCAGTAGATCCCTCCAATCGAGTATTTTGTGCCATTTGTGTTTAAGTGAAACCAGTATGCTTCCGTCACATCCATTGGCCTGGTGCCGTGAAGTCTTTCCGCTTTGAAGTGGCTGTTATTATCTATCACCACTCCTCCTCTAATGTTGCGATAGAGGTAATTGGTTGTTTGTCTCATCACTTGGTGGACCTCTGAAGCAACAGCGATTGTTGGATTTTCAGACAGGTTGTTCAAATGGAGTTGGCCAGTTCTGTTGAAACTTGTCACTTAGTATTAGGATATTCATCGAATATTATAAGAGAATTATTTGTAAGTCGATATTGATGCACGTCACGTGTGTGGGTCTCTGGTTTTGACAGACAGTCAGCAGGCAGTACAGTTTTTCTTATGTGCTTTCTGAACAGTAGGCTGTCATTTGAGATTTAGAATGACTTCATCTCCTACTTTTATTTTGCCTACTGGTCTTACTGGGGGTAGGCATCCTCATTTCCTTTATGAAGACCCAGTGTTGGTTTTCGGGTCAAGTGATACAAATTATGCACATTACTCTGAGGTATAACACTATACCACTATATTTTCTAGTTTCCCTGGCTGTTATAGTGCGAGAACTGGTGGCAACGCTATCACTGTACATGTTGCCCAATTGATTCAAGGACAGAGAACCAGACAGTTTGAAGCGGAATGTACTTGAGATATAGTTTGTTGAGGGATGAAAATAACAATAATACAACTGAATGAATATTACCTACTCAGGGATAGAACATGAAAGACGTAGGATTTAATTTGTCCTACAGATGTACTTCTAGAACTGTAAACTCAATATCGACGAGCACAGAGTCTATGAGAAAGCTATAGTTAAACACAAGACCAATTTGTTTTTAAACTTTATCTGTTTCTAAACATAAAAACAATTAGATTAGTACAATAATTAAGGAAATTACGGTTATCAAATAAGGCGAGCAAACGTATCGACCAATATAGCGTGTCTTATTGAAATGAATAAAGTTATGGGTCACATCAATATAATAAGATAATAATTTCCTTCAACTAGCAGGTCATTTACAACACACAAAGTTTACAGACACGTTCGATGATTTCGTTTGTCCTAATCGTTACTCAGACTGCCTACCAATGATTGTAGATAGAATTTATTTTTTTAGTATTGAATGAATGTCCCAATCTAGTGTCGAAAACTAGATTGTTTCCTGTAAACTGTTACAGATCAAAGAGGACACTTCGGTTTCACAGTGCGCAGTCGAAAAAAATATTATGAAAAATTTTGTCGTTTTCAGATGATACATATTAGATACATTATTAATTCAATTTCGAGTTGCTTTTATTGTTATGGGCAGATACTGATGAACGTCTTGCGCTAAGTTGATTAACATTAGTACACTATAATCCTTAATATAAAAAGTAACCGAGACTCATTGATGTTACTCATATTGCGAGCATATCCGTCCGTGTCAGTAAACATGGAAGTATTTCGGACCACCAAAATTATTGAGCATCTAAAACAATACTGTCTGTCTTGCAATCGAAACTATGTGTAATTATTCACGATGGCTTCTATAAATTACCGTACAGCATTGTTAGCACTTAGAGCTCAATATGAATGATATAAGAGACAACCAAAACAGTCAAGCATGTCTCCTGAAAATCAAAGCATGACTTGCCGTCTCATAAGAATACCCTGACGTTGAAAATCATTGCGTCAGATAGATTATTGAATACTAGTGGCATTGATGCTATTACCCATTCATATTAAGAACTTAATTATTTTATTACCGCAGGCGCTTACAATAATGGAAGATAGTCAATGACGCATATAAGCGACTGAAGCATCATCAATCACCTATTCCAAAGAAATGTATTTACGACATTTTTACTAGCGGCAGAGTAATTTGGAATCAGAGGACTTTGAATATGTGTTAGTTTCGTAAAAAAATGTGCGGCTTCCTCAAGCACTGGAACCACTGTTATCTCTAGTTCTAGGTCACATATTCAGCCGACCGAAAATTTCTAACCATTTGAGCCTAGCTGTGATAGCTACGTATTCTTACTGATGACTAGAATTATTACTTTAACTCACAGGGCATAAACACTTATAAAGTGGGAAACAAATCTCTTCTTAAGGAACTTTTGACTGTCTACTATTAAATTCATGCTAATATCAAGCTAAATCATTCGGTTATTCTATTTGAGTGATAATGTTACTGAACTTTTTAAAGCTATTCTATTCCAAGGGTTATGTTTTAGTACTTTTATTCAGTCTTTGATGGACAACTGTTTATTGAAATTATAACCTCATCACCCTCACTGTGCTACTGAAAAAGATCTATATGAATACTTAATACAACCGCGTGGCAGGTTTTTGATTTACCAATCACTTGATGACATTATTTAACTGGCTATTAAAACTCAGCATATCATTACTGAACATGGAAACTAAATCCAGTATTCTTTCATATTGATTGTTCACCTACTTCGTTTAAAAGAGACTTCAATCTTTTAGAATGAGTGCATTTATGGGTTTAAAAAACTTTATAAAACAGACTCAAACACTTTTCATCATTCACTTCCTAGTTACAGGTGAATGAATAAGGACTTAATAACGACCATTGTAGGTAACCACCGCAAATCGCTTTTTGATGAGCGAACATGGAGGTACCTGCCTATAGTTTCTCGTTTGGAGTTGCTTTAACTCATAGTTTTTTCCAGAAGAAGCGATCGCAGCTCATTCAGTGTGAAGTTCCAACAATCACGCGCTCATCCACGGACCACCATCTCCAACTTGAACCTGCTGTACCTGGTGCATTTTTCGTAACTTATCTGCCGTTAACACCATCAAATATCACTTATTTTTTCCTATATCACTTATTTTTTCCTATATCACTTATTATCTTTTATCTTTTCTCTTTCATCCTACTGTATTCGATTCTATCACACCATATGCACTACCATCTAATTAACTTGTTATTAGTTAAATGAGTACTTGAAACATTGATTTTATCCTAAGCATTAGAATTCTCTCCTTATTATTCTGCACATTGCAACTGACTAACTTCCCGCTTGGTAAGTTGATAGCTGCTGTTATGCGGAAACTACTGTACAGAGAAAACTGCCGTCTCTCAAAAATCATGGAACATACATATTCATAAATAACTTCCAACGGACTAGGATTAATGCAGTCGAATGGCTAGACTACGATCTGTTGAACTATGCCAAATACTTGGAACCGTACTGCAAGAACAAGAATCGATTGTGAAGAAATCAGTTAGCTTGCACAAGCTCGTAGAGAAGATATTGAATATTGAATGGGATAGCAACCAAATGGTGGTGATTTAAAAACCAGTCAAATGGCTGAAGATGACATTTCTCTTTCCCAGGTGAGCTAATTCCTATCTTTTTTTAAACAATATATACATATATTCATTATGGCGCTTGGTTTCTTTCCAGATTTTTGACAAGTGTCTAGCTTATGAATATTCTAATCCATGAGAAACGAATTATATTTTCAATGAATTCTATATTGTTTGATGATGTTAATGCAAATTTTTCGGCATTGATTTCATAAATGCCTACGCACTTATTCGTCTGTGTTAATCGTAGTAACAGGTGCTTAGTGTTCAGACTACTACAGTGTCTAATCGATGTTTAGATCATTTTGTCATTATTTTACTTTTTACGGTAGCTCGAGTGACTGCTATAGTACTAGGCGGTGCCTAATTTGATGGAGTATAATGAAGAGTAGAGAATATTAACTGCACAGAAATGCACAGATTTAGACGTGAAGGTATAGACGAACGAATTTTAGACGACAATGAAGGTAGATACACAGACTTCAGAATTAAGAAAGCAGTATTTAAGCCAGAAAGAACTCCATGAGCACAGTCAGACGTATCATATTCGGTATTCGAACAATAATGCACAAAAAAGTCATTTTTATATGCTGACATCACAAATGCTCAAGTCCAAAGCTTATGTATGATAAATAATGTCAGAGCATAGTTTTTTATCCTCTTTAGAAACGGTGTTGGTGATATTTGGCTGGGAAAATCATTCATGTTTTTTCAGAAGAACATAGATGCAAAAGTCAAGCTACCTAGGACTCACTTGGTTTTGAAAAAAACATTCTGTAGCAATTAAAATATTTATCTCATTATTTTGTGAATGAATTTAAATCGGTGAATTAAACATTAAAAATTGTATGGCTATATCGAGTACGTCTGTGAGCCTCTAAATTTCCTAAATAACTTAGTGAAACTATGAATCTTCTGTTGATAGACTGTTGTTTGTTGCACTATAGATTTAAGACGTGTTTTACATGCTAAGATTTGGCTAGAAACAACGTACAGAACCTCAGTAATTCTGTAAAGTAAATACTCATTTACACCAAAGAACAAAAGGCTTTTTAGGTACTAGATAACAGTTTTAAAAGTCGGGACCTTTATGAATTTCTTTTTCCTTTATTTTTTGTGTCTAAGTTTGCATTTGAAGCTTTTGTATTTCATAAGTTCATGTTTTCTTCTTGAGTAACGTCACCTTAAGCTTATCTTTTTCATTTCTATTTATACTACTCTGGGATTTATCTGTTTAATCTTTTATCTAGCTGTTCTCATTTTGTCTTGTACTTTAATCTTAATAAGGTTTTTGAAACAATGTAGAAAACATGATATCAAAGAATTGGAGACTACAATTACATGTAAAAGAAATGAGCTTTCGTTCAAGTTTTCTGTAGGCAGATGTAAATAGATTATGTTATATCTACTTTTAGTTTACCTACCACAGATTAAGCCATCTTAAGTTTATGAGAGTAAATAGCTAGAAAGTCTCATCTTTCTCTCAGACTTGTCCCAAGCTGAATGTGTGTGACTTTAACAGCAAGCTCATTTCGGTTAAACGCAGATTTTTTTTTAGTAAAGCAGGCTTTTCTAAAGCATGTACTCTTCTTATACTGTTATTATTTGATAACTCATGAGAAAATATTTTCCTTTTTAAAATAAATCCCAACATTTCTACCGAAAACACTAGGTTAGATAAACACTTCTATTTGAATGTTTATTCAGAAACCTAAGAAGTAAGCTTAAATTTGTCGTCAAAGTTTTGAGATCATCTAATAAGCTCTTGAAAGTAAACGATATTTGAAGGATATATTAACAATCATATAAACTTTACAAACATGCATCCCATCAGATCGTACTGAGTATTCAATGTCCAGTTTATGTATGAACCTAATCATTTAGGTTTTATGAAAATTATTATTTGCCGTGATAAAACAGTTAAATTTATCTATCATACAGCCCACCTATTCTTAAGAGCTATAAGAAAAGATTGATAATTGCTAGCAAGTACATTTTATTCTGTCTGGGACTGTTAAGCTAGATGTGCCGGAAAGTATTAAACTTCATCCCATTTCATAAGCTAGTAACTATCCAAACTCAGTAATTACGTTAGCAACACGATGTTGTTCAAGGCGAGTGGTACTGGACACGAGTCTCGGAGTGAACATCAACTTCGGGATGCTGCAGGTACGTCCAACAAATGGATTCTACTGTCAGGTAATATACATCAGCTTACAGTACTGGTAACCCTATTGCTATCTGAAGGTACTCCGCATGGGGATGCACTAAAGTCAAATCCGACTGATCAATTACAGCTTTAACTAACAATGAGACTTATCAAGCTACCGGTATAAGAAGCATAATTCTTTAGAATTGTCTAATAGTCAAATCTTATACATTTAAATCTAATTATATCAAACTTCTCACAACCTCAATTACTATGAGATTTGAATTGCCTCTGTGTGTCCAAATGTGGTATGTTAACTTCAACTGATACACGTACGTATGAAGTTCTGTATTGTAGAGCTGACTGATTGACTGAAATCATATGACAAGCATTTTTGTGAAAAATCTATTGTTAAAATATCAAATAAAAAAGTTGAATCAATCCATTTCTAAGAAATATATCACTTGGACATATAAAAATATCAATGAATTGCTTTTCTTTCTAAAGTGTGCATATTATATTCTGAATTATTCCGATTTAATTTTGTAAACTCACTTTTCATAAATATTCCCTCAAAAGTTTTTTCTATTGGATGCTGAAATTTAAATATTTTTAGTCAAAAAGAATATTATTTTAAGTACGTTTTGATGCAAAGTAATCTGTTTGGAAAAGTACTAAACATCAGATAGCTAGAATACTTGACTATTAACATACTAAAATGCTAAGTACTCTGTACGCTGTAGTTCAAAGAACATATACTGTTATACAGTAAAGAGTGTTGGAGATGTTAGATCCCCAGAACTCACTTGATAAATATCTTTATTTTGGATTTATTTCATGGGCAGATCAGTTGATCTTGAGATCCCATTTCCCACCAGGAACAACCGTGGTTATGATAGCTTACTGTGTCATTTTAGTGTGCTATTTTTGTGACTGTCCCAAAGACTTCTCTATGGAGCATGAATAAACGCAATTTGAGTGCTTGGATTCATTGTGTGCTGGCTGGGTGTTTGTAGGATGTACGATTCAGCGGAAATGTGGCCTGCTATGCTCTGCAGGACAGATTAACGAAAGTAATTAGTAGAACGTTCTACTTTTCAGGTCATCCAGCGATGTCTACCCAAACCAGGGATAAGATACCTGAGTTGACTTCCTCTAGGTGTATTTACAAATTCAGTTGCTCATGTGGAGATAACTATATCGGGTGTAATACCAGGGAACTTAACTAACGAATGAGTGAACACTTCCTAGGGACAGTTAAAAACAATACGCAGTTCTATCTTAGCACATCTAATTGACAGCGGTCATAATGTAAATAAACCTGAGTTATTTTGAGTGATCTCCATAATTTCTAAACGGAGTTCTATCCCGTCTCCTACACATAACAGAAGCGCTAGGAATTCTTACATTCTGGATGCTTGTAGAATACAGATTCTACTTCATATCATGTCTTCTTATTTTTACTCAATATGGGGGTTAGGTTAATCGGATTAGAGTAGCATGTCGTGTCACCGGATCCTTGACCCTCGCTCTCGTTTTCCGACTATAGGACAAACTCGTAATACTTCAAGCATATCCAGTTGACGTGTTTACGTGTAGGCGTAACAGATTACTAATGAACATTTATACCGTTTTCTTAGTTTTCTCAGGTAATTAAGGTTTTCTAATATTGTCATAAAGTTTGTATTTTTTCAGCGTAACTTATCGATTATTTCTCTTATTATTCTTTTTTTTTAGACAGCGGATGATACAGATTTACTTAGTACTGAAGATGTGATCGATAAAGAATTAAGTAACGTAGCCGAAGAAAAGTCACTAAATGTTTCATTATCTTCACATACAAAAGAAAAATCTGATAAGTATATGTCAGATCATAGAATTGTACGTCGAATTGTGGCTGAAGATCCTAATTATAATTTAGTTATTGTACCAACATTGGTCAATTTGTGTATAAAACATTGTACAGAAAATTTTGTATGTACGTGATTGCCATCTGAAGATATTTAGATTTTTTATTTTGACTACTGAAATAGTTTTAAGTAGTATATATTCATTTTTCAAAATAAATAGTGCCTGGGAGTATACTGATGCAGAGAAACTTCAGTAATTAAAAGGATAAGTAATTTACTTTGACTTAACACAGAGTATATTGTAGCACCATAGTAAAATGGAATGTGTAACACCGATAAACATGATCATCAAGTTATTTTTCATCTTTTGGTTTCTATTCAGTTTTATTAAATGTTATTCAATGTTAAAAACTCATTGCTAAGTTCAGCGGAATACTTGAATTGTTCTTGAAAAACATGGACAAGTAATCCTAAACATCATGCTCACCTACCTACTTACTTATTTACTTAATTACTTACGCCTGTTACCATTACTGGAGCATAGACAACTGACCAGTTTGTGGTGGTGGTGTTTGGTTCTCTGAGCTGGGTGTTTTGGTTGTGGAGCCATACATCAAAGATATATCGGAGCATACAGCACTACTACTGAAACCATTTGGAATAGGTGTGGCACATAATAAACCAACAGAATCACTTCAATCAATCCTATGTAGACCAAAGGGAGAAAAACCAAATATCATCTATAAAATAAATTGCTCAGACTGTGAAAAACACTACTACATAGGACAAAGTGGACGGCCTCTTCATCAAATTCGTTTACGTGAACACCAATTAGCAGTCAAACGCCACGACAACGTTTCGCTCATATAAATACACACCGACAATAATGGACACACCTTTGATTTGAACAATGTGGAAATACTGGGTAGGGGGAACACAAAGAACACCAGGGAATTTTCAGAAGCTTGGCACTCAGCTCAATCAGTAATCAACAAACACATCGACATTGACCCAATTCATCAACCGATCAGAAAAATCATAGGTGACATAGGATCAAGAAACAGACCGAAAGGGGGTTGCAATCAAAACAAAGGTGCAAACAACGACAGATCAACAGCAAACAATCTCCTGAGCTTTCCTTTCCAATTCTTACCAATCACCATTCAATCTTTTCATATCTGTCTCTGATTTAACACAAATCGTGTCGTAATCATGCAAATTCATAGTCATTGTTGTTTACAGTGATTGAAAAATCGTTATACCAACCAACTGACTGCATAAAAGTGGTCCCTTAAGAAAAAAATTGCCAAGGACTGAGCTGGGGTCTCAGCCTGAATACATAAGTTAAATTGTAACGCAAAAATATATCTCGGTATTTTCTTTAACAACGTGTGTGCTTAGGCGAACCAATAAATCAATGGTTACTGTGATAACGTGAATTGGCTCATATCTGAACACGATATGCGATAACCGCCTGAATCAGCTACTCAAATTAGAAAGAGAATGGAAGAGAAAGTCTATTTGACAGCACAAAATACACTCATTGATTTAAATACATTCCTTCTGTTTAGAAAATGAATCATTTTCGTAACCAGTAATATGCATCTATTCTTAAGGGGACATTTTGGATTGTTGTCATTAAAAATAGTGAAGTTTTCAAATGACCAATTCTGATTGATTCACCACAATGTCAGATATGTCGTATGTTAATGTAAACAGATTTTGATGACGGACATTTTGTTTTTGAGAGGAATAAAATGTTGACTGGTTTTTGTTTGCTATTTACACAATCAATAATCAGATACAACCGGGAATTCTTCTGAATTTATTGATTTGTGGAAAGCAATCCGATTTACTTAGATAAGTGGTTGATTGCTAGTGTTAAGACAGAGGTTTCTGGAGACTGTTTTGTTGAAATCGTGAATCGATCACTGTTAGACCACTAATGGAAACATAGAAATACTAGATAGCTGTTTTGTCCTAGTATGAGACTCATCAGAAATGTGCATCCACAACTCCTCCTCTCAAGACTCGAATTCAGGACCTTTGCTCTGTGGCGCGAAAACGCTCAACCTCTAGAGAATTGATTGAAAAAAGTAACTCGTATCAATAGATTTGTGTATCTTTTTAAATGTGTATTTATAGAATATATTTATATTGAAATCATGGCAACCTAGAAGCACTGGACAGCCGTTTTCACCTAGTATGAAACTTTCAAACAATGTGCATCCTCGAACCAGGAATCAGATCTAGGTTCTCCAATCTCATGTGTGAATGTCTAACCTCTAGACTACTGAGTCGGTATGCATGGGCCTCTGTTGCACTGCCTCACATTAGCTCATCTCATATTGGTTTAATTTGTGTGTTCAGATATGCTCCATCATGTTATTGTCTATACTGATGATGATTATATCATGCTATGATTCATTTGAATAGTGAGGTCATTTTGTTGAAGGAATACATGATTTCATTCCTATTGAATGGAGGTGAGTCATTCAACGTGATTCATTTTTCGCTAGGCTCTCACACGTACTTTACACATCTCACTGATTTGAAACAAGTGAACGATGCTACTGACTGTTTCTTGATGATGTTGCTGTTTCCACTACACATCAGAATGCATTGATCGTGGTGACTGATATTTTTGTAGGAATGACGAATGAAGACGGTGTTGACTGTTAGAGAAGAACTTGGCAGGAAAGGGGAAGGACTGTGAAGGAGAATGCAAAGACAAGCAGAAAGAAGGAAGCATAAACAGTTCTGTAGGTACATATGCAAATCTTGTTCTTACAAAATGGTTTAAGACTAGTAAATCTTCATCAAAATGAGTTTTTATATGTACTACCTGTGATTATTAACAATGCTGCCTTAACAAGATTGATGCAATGAATCGCCATCTGAAAAGAGATTGATTTAATTAAAATAGCAAGATAGTCGACCTGATTAATTAATGTGCTTCAGTGCGGTAAAGTGGCCAAGAAACGTTAAGTCTTTATGAATGTATACAGGGTATATTGTCTTCGGTGAGTAACTGCTTTAAAACCAACAATGTTGAATTTCACTGCTTTCAGCTTCTCATCAAGAATCTGAAAATTCCCTCACAGAGCTGACCACTAGTGAGCACATAATTATTGTAAGTATAACGTTGTGAAGATTGGTTATAGGTCGGTTCAATGGTTAACAGGTTGATCATTGACGCCTGTGATCGAAGATCATGGATTCACTTTCTGTATGCAGGTTCGTGGGTGCGCACATTGCTGATGAGTCTCATACTAAGATCAAACAGCTGTCCAATGCTTCCAGCTTATTCAATGGTATTATTCTAATACGCGTCAATTCATGATTTCAATAAATATTGGAAATTACAATGTTGTCGCTATCACGATTTCAGAAACTTCTTGAAGTAAGTGGGACTTTATTTCAAATTGGCTTAATTTGAAATTACATCATTAGAAGTCGGTCCAATACTTCAAATGGATTACCACTTATTACGCCGGGATCTCGAGCACCTGAATCCAATTCTTGGTATGATTGTAGCTCGACATTATTATGAAGCGATTAAGCATTTGCGCGCAAGACCGAAGGTCCAAGGTTCGAATCCTATGAGGTGCAGGAGTCGTGGATGCGCACTGCCACTGATGAGTAGTCCCATACCAGGACGAAGCGGCCGTCCAATGCTTTCAGGTTTCTAATGGTGGTCTAACATTGATCTATTCATAATTTCAAATTATTAAGAAGTCTTCCACTAAGGCGAAGGCATTGTTTAGTCCTCTTTGGAATTTTAGTCATACTCTGGTTGAGACCTACCTACTGGTAACTTTTTTACTAATTTACAATATGTATCAATCTACATAACACCTTTACATATCTGGGCAGCGTCATCGACAACCCAGGTGGATCCGATGCAGATGTGAGGGCGCGGATCGGCAAAGCGAGGGCTGCATTTCTACAGTTGAAAACTATCTGGAACTCCAAACAACTTTCAACCAAAATCAAAATCAGGATTTTCAATACAAATGTCAAGACAGTTCTACTGTATGGAGCGGAAACCTGGAGAACTACCAAAGTCATCATCCAGAAGATACAAGTATTCATTAACAGTTGTCTACGCAAAATACTTCGTATTTGTTGGCCAGACACTATCAGCAACAATCGACTGTGGGAGAGAACAAACCAGATTTCAGTGGAGGAGGAAATCAAGAAGAAGCGGTGGAAGTGGATAGGATACACACTGCGGAAAGCACCTAACTGCGTCACAAGACAAGCCCTTACATGGAACCCTCAAGTCAAAAGGAAAAGAGGAAGGCCAAAGAACACGCTATGCCGAGAAATAGAGAAAGATATGAGAGGAATGAACAAAAACTGGAAATAACTTGGAAGGGAAGCCCAGGACAGAGTTGGTCGGAGAAAACTGGTCGGCGGCCTATGCTCCATTGGGGTAACAGGCATAAGTAAGTAGTAAGTAAGTAAGTAAGTAAGTATCAATCTACATAAAATCCAGTACGGATTAAAATGAATTTATTGACTCATTTCATTAAATTTTTTTTACTTTTCAAAAAAAAACATTCTTTCAAGATAATCCTAGACCATTGATGTATTTAAACAATGAACAAAAACGTCAAATATTAGACAATCTACCAGCGAATTTACCATTGAAAGTCACATCACACATTATTGATGATAATTCATATTGGGCACGGTGTTGTCATGTTAAATGGCCAATTATCGATGTGACACGTTATGATGGATCATGGAAACGTGCTTATTTTGAACGTTTATTAGAAGAAATGATTGAAACATTTGTACCGGGCACAACCTATGCACCATATTTAAATGAATGTGTCAATTATGCTGCACCGTATGTTCAATGTCTCAATATTCGACAACTTTTACCACCTTATAAAGAACCGGATTTGGTAAATTGTAGTGTTTTTTTCTGCTGTTGTTTTTAAAGTTTGACATTAAAGATTACATTTTAGAAAAATAATATAATTATTGGTTATATACATAGTTACTTATTTTGACTTAAAGCCATGCTAAAACTCTGTAGAAAGTGAGTTATGTAGGCGAATCTCATTCTGTAAGGGAGTTAATGAGAATTGTTAAATTTCATAATTTGTCACGTATTAAGTTTGGTTTAGAATTGGAAAGAACTTTTTAACTGTTCTGCACTAGTATAAGGCTCCTCAGCTATGAACATCGATGAATCTATTAGGAACTTCAGCTAAAGTGTGCTCACTAATGACTAACTTCGTGTGAAAAATTTTCAGAGTTCTAGTAAGAAGTCGTGACCAGTGGAGTTCAACCATGTCGGGTTTAGGCATTTACTCACTAAAGACAATAGATAAAGCCCTTCTTTACCTTGGAGCGATTGAAGTTAGACATAAACAGCGTTGGTTGATATCTCAGTAACCTAAAGGTTACGCATCCACGTGTTGTGAGAGTGAAGATCCTGGGTTCGATTCGCCGCGTGCAATCGTTGTGGATGCGTACTGCTGATAAGTCCCACACTAGGGCAGGACGAAATAGCTGTCCAGTGTTTCTAGGTTTCTAATGGTGATCTAACAATGAATTAGTTCATTATTTCAATGAAATCTTTGTTTAAAAACATATAACCATTATGATAATGGATGCCTTATTCTTTCTCTCTATATATATAGGATAATGAATCCGATAACGAGAGTGAATCAGATAAAGCCAATCCCACCATAGAACCAGTTGATCATTTAGATTTAACGCCAATTTTACAAAAATTAACACAATTAAAAGAATTAAGCTTAACTTATACAATTAAAGATTGTGGAATGAATTTTGAATGGTCATTATTTCAATTTACAATAACTGATTGTTTAACTTTATCAAAAGCTATTCAAAAACATCGTTGTTTAAAAGTATTTAATTTAACAAAGTTAGTTATTGAAATTTTGTATTTGTTTTTCTAAAGTCAAATTTATATATATATATATATATATATATATATATATATATATTTAAATCTCGTAGTAATTCGACATCTTGGTAAACAGTTCGTTCAATAACGATTGAACAGCTATTGAACATCAATAAACTTATGCCTGGAATCATATTGATTTTCGAATGTTTTTTCACTAACTAGTCTTCATAAGTATATATATGATCATCAATCAATCACTGTTAGACCACCATTAGAAACCTAGAAGCACAGTGGACGGCCATTTCGTCCTGGTATGTGACTCATCATCAGTGCACATCCACAACTCCTGCACCTCGCAGGATTCGAACCCGGGACCTCCGGTATTGTGCGCAAACACCTGCGCGAGGTGCAGCAGTCGTGGATGTGCACTGCTGATGAGTCCCATACCAGGACAAAACGGCCGTCCAGTGTGCTTCCAGGTTTCTAATGGTAGTCTAACAATGATTGATTGATGATTTCAAATGTGTAAAAACACAAATCTCCAAAACTCTGCCTGAGAATATATATTTGATCGTTCAAGAGAATTCCTTGTTTTCAACAATGTTCAGTGATAATTATGTTTTTGTTAAGAATGCACGTAAACACGTCATTCGATATGCTAGAACTATTACGAGTTTACCTTAGTTGGAAAACCAGAGAACGGATCGAGGATCCGGCGACACGACATTCTAATCTAATCTGAGTGTCCCAACCCCCCATTGAGTAAAAGAAGAAGACTTGATATGAAGTAGAACGTGTATTCTACAAGTATTCAGAAAGTACGAGGTCTGAGTCCAGAATAGGCTAACGACATTGACAGTTAGGACGAGCAAAAGGAACTAACCAATAAGAATTGACCGGTAATTCTTTTAGGTTATTGAATAAATATTCTAACAGTTTCATAGGAAAATAACTATTTTACTTGTGGTAAAACGAATGGGGTCAACCAACTAGAACATTTCTCTGAATATTTAAGATTCTATCAAAATTCTATCTCTGTGATTGGAAATTTGAACGATCAGTAACCGAGGCCTGACGGTTCACAGTTCAATCCTTGATTGAATCGAAGATGAACACTTCCAACTTGCCTATACTGCCACAACGTATCTTTTTTTCAACGGTAAACCTAGCTAAAAGATCAGTTTGTTTGTGATTTATTGATGGTTTCTGTTATGCTCTTCAGTTGATATGCTTGGAAGGATTACAATTTCACCTTATTCGCAAAAAGAGAGCGAAGACAAATGACCCATTGACACGATTGGGTACTCTAATCCGAGCGTCCGAAACCCCCACTAAAAGTATCAAAAACCCTTGATGTGGCGTATAAAGTGTATTCTACAAGCCCCCAGAAAATATGAGGTTTTTGTACAGAAGAAGAAGAAGAACGGGAGCATATTTATACAGTTAAATCGACCGTGAATACTAACCAATAGGAAAGAACATTTAAAAGTATGTGAACTTGATAGTTTAGAATGACCTTAAATATTGACCAATAGGATCTGACCAATAGAATTAGACTTACAAAATAATTTCTTTACGACATTTAATTAATATTCTAACAGTTTCAATAATAGATGACAGTCTACACTACTCAATCAATGGTCTAGAGGTTAAGCGTTTGATTGCAAGACCGGAGTTCTTTTATTCAAATCTTGTGAGTAGCAGGAGTCGTGGATGCACATTGCCGCTGATGAGTTCTATACCAGAACGAAACGGCTGTCCAATACTTCCAGGTGGTCTAACAATAACTGATTCATGAATTCAATAATTTAGACATTTATTTATTTAAAAAAACTTTTTTCAAACAACGTTTTTCTCTCTCTCTCAAACAAAACATTATTTATACAGTAGCCATGTTAATTCGGAACAATGTCGTATGCTAGCAACTCATTTACAAAATCATCCAACTTTACGATATTTAAATCTGTCGCATAATTCTATCGGTCAACGTGGTGTACGTGTTTTGTGTAAATTAATCACTGGAAATTGTCAATTGAAATCATTGAATTTAACTAATAATCATTTGAAAGCAACAAGTGCCGTGGCATTAGCTCAAGCTCTAACTCAATCCACTTGTCAACTGGAACAATTAAATTTACGTTTGAATAAAATTGAAGACGAAGGTGGTATTGCACTGGCAAATGTGAGTGGATTATTTATTGGTTTTGGCAAAGTATTTTTTTGCGAAGAAAAAGAGGAATCAATAAAAGTCCATTTTCTTTCCTATCATATCTTTATCGGTACATTGATGTTCACACAGACCGGAACTTAGTTCCTTGAACTTCTATTAACGTTTCTGATACCAGACAACTGAGATCTTCCATTTCTCATTGAAATCATGAACATAATATCAGTGTCAGATCAGTAGCGTAAGCTGTTTCGTCCTAGTGCGACACTCATCAGCAATAAGTGACAACGATCGCAAACCCTAATATTCTTCATTACAACTAATACTTCTACAATCTCTACCACTATGACAGTTGCGTCTCTGTGCTGACATGGTATGGCAACCTGAAATGATGTACGTGCTTACGAAGTTCTACGTTGTAACTGACTGACTGACCAAAGAATCGGATCCCGGATCTTCGGTCTTGCTCTTGAATATTTAACCTCTAGATGGTGTTAATGTTTTTTTAGAGTTAATCTACGATACTGTGTGACCATCACACATTGTAACTGCCTCCTAGCCAATACAGTAAAATTCTACGAGTTAAAGCTTTGTAGTGTCTCCACATATATTTCAGTTCGCTTCCTTCGCTCATTCGTTCGCATTGTAACCCTGGGAGTTGGCTCATTAGCCTTCTCCAATTCACGTCGTTTCGTACGCCTTGTTCGCTGCTTTTCAACTTCGCTTTGTGGTGTGTCCAAAGATAAAAGTATTCATTACTTCGAATCCATCTTCTGATTTATAACCGTCAGACGCTACTTTGTAACGATTGCCTAGACGAGTTAATAACGAAGCATAAGAACACTCAGTGAATTGGTCACTACAGCTTCTCAACAGACCTCTGTGTTTTTAGTAATGAGCAAATTAAAACCTATAAAACGAGTGACCTGCATGAATATTTTTAGGTTACTTATTTTCGAACATCAAAATGTGTCAACAAGTTACCTCTGTCTGTTTGTTTTAACACATTCCTTGTGTCTATTAATTGCGCAATCAATAACTAGCTATCACTTCAAAACATACGAAAAAGTACTGTCTGAAACAGTTCGGTGGTTGACAGTCTGTTAAGAAAAGAATGAACGTTGATAAGATGTCGATTCTTGGAATGCTTATTTCCAACTGCTGCCAAGGAAAAGTGTATGTACATCAAAGTTCATGACGCGATCGGAGACTGTACCGAAAATTGTTTTACTCATCACCTGATATGATTCCAACTATTACGCGTTCACCTTAGTCGATAAACGAGAACGAACCAATGAACCACGGTAGGCTACTCTGATCCGTTGCCTTAAATTAGCTGACGGGAAAGTCTTGATATAGTGTAGAAAGTGTATTCTACAAACACCCAGCAAACAAATTGATCTCAAGGACACAAATCCTGTTTGTTTATACATCATTGAAACGTCCTTGGGAGAATCACAAAAATAGCGTTCTAAGAAAATACACTGACCAATCACAACCAAGGATTTTCCTGGTGGGAAATATGATCTCAAGGTCAACTGATCAGCCCATGAATAAAATCCAAAATTAACGTCCATTGTAATAATTATTATTATCACGAATCCTCATCAGTTCAAGCTATCATAATTCATGTCAGTTACACAGAAGACTGTTTTGGCTAGTATCACGAAACGCAATGTCTCTCCTCAGAAATCGCTGCTACCAGAGAAGAGTGTATGTACATCCGAGTTCATGACGCGATCAGAGACTCTATTGAAAATCCAAAAAAGATGTGAGAGAAGATAGTTAATAACCTGCCTGTATTGCAAATGGATGTTTGAAATATATATATGTGTCTGTATTATTTTTTAAATAAACCCTGTTTACTCCATCTGGTCTTTTTGTACGATTCAGACCAATCATCACTTACCTAAAAGATTAAATCTCCACATTAAAACTTCAACATCACCTTCAGTCCTATTTTTCAACAAGCGTAATAATATCTTAATTAGAATTCCAATCATTATGATATTGGTTCATGTTGGGGATGTTAGATCCTCAGAACTCGCTTGATAAATGCCTTATTTTGGATTTCACGATTGTGAGCATCGGCTGATAAGTTGACCTTGATATAACATTCCCCACCAGAAAAATCCATGGCTGTGATTGGCTGCTGTGTATTTTAGTGTGCTATTTTCGTAACTGTCCCAAGGACGTTTCTATGATGTATAAAAAAACGAGAGTTGTGTACTTGATTGCATTGTGCTTGCTGGTTGTTTGTAGAATATACTTTCTACACTTATCAAGTCCTCTGTTTTGCAGTTTGAGTTTCACGGTAGCCTACCTGGAAGCTGGTTCACTGTCTCGTTCGCGTTTATTGACTAAGGTGAACCCGTAATAGCTTCAAGCGTACCTAAAGACGAACCTAACAGTTCAGAAGTGTTTTTTTATTGTAGTCAATGTGAAACATGTAATATAAATTGAGAATTGAACAGCGTTTAAATTTGTTTTACTAATATCTATTAACTACTGTTCAGTATTCAATGTCCAATAGTGTGTTCACATATTGGATTTTTTAAAAACCGATGATCACTTGTTATTGAATTTTGACATTGTTTTTGTTGATTTTTTAAAAATTTTGTTTAGGCGCTAGTTGAAAATTCTTCATTAAAAGAACTTAATCTAGCCGCAAATGATTTACATGAAGAGACAGCAACTCATTTTGGACAAATGCTGACACAAAACACTACATTAACCCATTTAGATTTATCCAATAATCAAATTGGTGTAGTAAGTTGTGTCATCATGATTTGTCTTGAAAAAAAAAATTGTAAATTTAATTTATGGCATTTTAGTTTGATTGTTGAAATTGTTGAGTTTCATTGAAACCATGATCGAAATTCAATGTTAGACCGTCAATGAATACCTAGAATCATTGGATAAACATTTTGTCTTAGAATGGAACATCGTAATCGGTGTACAGCTATGATCTCTCAATGCGGTAGTCAGAACAAGGGCCTTCAGTTTTATATGCGAACAATTAACCTCTAGACCACTGAGTCTAACATTGATGCGTCCGTGAATTTAATGAAACTCTGCAATCTTATACTGATAGTGATCATGTGCTAACTAGTGACTAGCTTCGAGAGAGGCTACTGCCGGAGTCCTTGTGGGAAGTTTTAATCATTGGAGTTCAGTCGTGTCAAATGTTGGAGAGAGTTACTCATCCAAGACAATCAATGAGCTCACAAAATATACAAGTACGACATCAATACCATTAGATACCGTAGGTTCTAGGTTCAATATCCTTGTGTAGGGTCACGGATTTGCATCGCTGATGAGTCCTATACTATGGAGAAACGACCGTCCATGGCTTCAATATTTCCAATGGTCGTCTAACATTGATCGATTCGCGGTTTCAATGAAACAGTAATGCTTGTATAGAAATAAGAATAGCGTTAAACTAATCGAAGAAATTTCCTTGGGAATGATAAAAATGAAGAAAGGTTTATGTCATCATGATAATGATTATTTTTCAGATAGTAGGTAGGACAAATTCAATCCTATACAGTGTTTGCCAACCTACTCTGTCCTGCGCCCTGGTTTCCAGTTCTTTCCACTTGTTATTCATTCTTCTTATATCTCTCTCTGTTTCTTGGCGGAATGTGTTTCCAAATGAGTGATTGTCTTGTGAGGCAGCTGGGTTCATTCAGCAATATGTGTCCCATCCACTTCTCTCGCTTCTTCCTAATTTCCACCTCCGCTCGAATCTGGCTTGTTATTTTCCTCCATCAGTAACAATCTATTAGGAAAGTGATAACAGCTTTCAGGTGAGAATGAAACTAAGAGAAAGCACTGGAACGGGATAGAATGCAGTTTACAGAAATCTCCTAACCTCATCAACAGGCAAACCCTAACGTGGAATGCTCAAGGCCAAAGGAATAGAGGCAAACCAAAGAACACATTACACCGAGAACAGAAAACAGACATGAAAAGAATGAACAACGATTGGGAGGAACTGATAAAGAGCGTGAAGGACAGAGTTCATCGGCATTCTATGCTCCATAAGGGATAACTGGCATTAGTTTGTATCATTCAAGGTCACTACTGATTACTATTTCACTGTTTGACGACTGACTATTCTGTGATTTTAGGTTGGCAGTGAAAAACTTCAAGATGGAATGGATCAGAATTCAACATTGATTTATTTCGATTTACGTTTTACTGGTAGCAGTCAAGAAGCAGAATTTGCCATAAGTCAACGTATTGAATTAAATCAAAAACTGTTGCGTCAATTAGAGGCAAGTGAATAATTTATCTGAATAGTTGATTGATTGTGAACGTTATTTATCAACCAAAGCTCTTTGCAAACTATGAACAGATTTGTTAAACTATGAATTTAGCGAACAGTGATTATATGTTAGTTTTAACTAAGATGATAGGTTTACACAAAAGTAAATCAGCAAAGGTAGGTAGTTAATGGCTAATCAAAGAATCCAAGACACGCTGTTCACTGTATTTGAGGCTCACCTGTAGTTGGCTGTACCTACCATAACCGTGCGACAGGAAAACTTCTTTTTATGCTAAGTGTTTTAGTGACCGAAGATCTGATTCGGATCGATTAGCGTTATGCTTGTCAATTGATACGCTTGAAAGTATTACAAGTTCAACTTAGTTGGCAAACGAGAGCGAAGACAAATGATTCAGTGACACGATAGGCTATTCTAATCCTAGCGTCCAAAGCCCCCAAAAAGTAGGGGAAGAAGTCTTTACAAGACGTAGAAAGTGTACTCTGCCAGCACCCAGAAAATTGAGTTTATTTATACATGATAGAAACGTCATTGGAAGAGCCACAAAATAGCGTACTAAAATAATACATTAACCAATAACAGACAAGGATTTTCCGTGGTTGGAAATGTATTCTCAAGGCGAACCTAATCAACCCATACACAAAAGCATAAAATCTAAAATTAGGGCCTTTATCAAGACAGTTCTGGGGATTTAACATCCCCAACAACTACGCGATGAAATAAATCTTCCTTCATGCAGACGGACACGCGAAGACAAAACGTAAAAGCGAAGCAAGGCGGAGCGAAATGGAGAAGGCAGGAGAGCCGATTGATTGCAATGCGGCATGACTAAAAATTTGTTTATAGTCAGTTAACAAAAAACTAAGCTAGATATGTCGTGAGCATGCGCTTTCAAATACAAACAACCACGATGTTTAAGCGATTATTTGGCAAAGTCAAAAGACATATGAGTGAATAAAGACTAACTCATGTAGAATGGCTTCGTTAGTTTGATTCAAAGTCGAGGGCGACACAAATCATGCAAGTTCGACAATCAATATTTGAACATACCCCACGAGTTGATATTGGCAGCAATGAACTCGATTTTCCTCTCTCATTTTCTCGTTTCTGTTTCCCTTCTCTTAACTTATTTAGGGTGAAGAAATTGCCAATACACAAGAATGTATTATACCGCATGAATTGACAAGTGTAGCACGTTATCAAAGATCAATATTATTACATAATACGCATGATGAAATCACTTTGACAGCGTCAAATATGTTAAATGTGTAAAACAAAAAATTGAACAAAGTAAAAATATAGAACAAGAAAGAAGATTATCAGAATAGAATATTTTTCTCATTTGTTTTTTTTAGAAAAACGAAAGAGAATTTTTCTTCTTGACAAAATCAATTTCCTCTTTTAAAGTTATCGGCTATGACAATTATACACTGTGATGACGTGGAGAGATGCTGGTATCCAGAAACCGTACTGCCCTGAAATAAACGTACTCATTTCAAATTACGTGACATACGAATTCATAGATGACTGCTGTTAGGCATGCGCGTTAACACGTCTTTTGATATGCTTGAACGAGTTTACCTTAGTCGGAAAACGAGTGCGCGGATCGAGGATCCAGCGACACGATAGACCACTCTAATCCGAGCGTTCCAAACCTTCTGCGAATAGAAGAAGAAGACTTGATATGAAGTAGAACGTATATTGTTCAAGCAGCCAGAAAGTACGAGGTCCGAGTCCAGAAGAATGCAAGGATCCCGGACTAGGGATTCGGGACTGGGTCCTGGTTTTGGTCATAAAACGTTACATATAATGCCTATTTATACATTTAGGTTGCATAAGAAACGTCATCAAAATCTGTTACATCGGCAGTTAAGACCACCAATAAGAAACAACATTTGAGGTGACATTGCTGGTTAGGAAGGTCAATAGGACACGACATTGAAGTACGTGACATTGATAGCTAAGACGATTATAATATTGACCAGTAGGAATTGACCAATAGAATTAGACTTACAAAACTAATTATCTTAGGATATTTGATGAATATCCTAACAACTGCCAACTGACCAGAATTACTTCAGTCGAGTGACGAGACCAACATCCATGGGACACTACTACCAAATAGCTGGAAACGTACCGAAAGAACAAGAATCGAGCGCCAAGGGATCCCTTGATTTATAGTAGCTCATGCAAAAGATACTGGATATTGAATAAACTAACTTATGATAAGATTAAAACAATGACTATGAATTATTAATATTATGGAGGTTGTTGTTTTTACACATTGGAATCATGAGTGAATCATTACTTTTAGACCATACGATTAGAAATCTGAAAGCATTGAACAGCTGTTGCATCAGTTACGAACGCACGTTACCAAGTCACTTGATATGCTTGAACTATTACGAGAGAGGATCGATGATCCGACGACACGACACGCTACTCCAGTCCGAGTGTCCCAAACCCCCCCCCCAATGAGTAAGAGAATAAGAATTGATATGAAGTAGACCATGCATTCTACAAGCATCCTGCAAGTATGAGGTCCGAGTCCAGAAGAGGATGGGGATCCCAGACTAAGGATCCGGACCATCAAACGTTACAGACAATTCATATTTATAGAGGTAGGTCGAATAAGAAACAACATTGGAGGTATGTAACATTGATGGTCAGGGCGACCGATGGGAAACAACACTGAAGTATGTGACATTGATAGTTAGGACGACCAATAGGAATTAACCCTTAGAATTAGACATACAATAATTCTCTTAGGATATTTGATGAATATCCTAACAGCG